GAAGGTCAGAGGGTTCGGGAGGCCCCTGTCTGCAGGAGCGGGGGGGGTGTCCCGTGGGGTCGAGGCGTTTTGTGTCACCTCCCTGCCCTCCTGCCGCAGGAGGGGATCGGTCTGGACGCCATCAACGACGCCTTCCTCCTCGAGTCCTCTGTCTACAGGCTGCTGAAGAAGTACTGCGGGGAGCGCCCCTACTACCTGCACCTGCTGGAGCTGTTCTTGCAGGTGAGCCCGGCCCCTCCGCCCCCCTCCCGCACATTTACCTTGGGTCTGGGCCGGTTCTGGATGTCTGACAGCACCTGGACCTCCAGCTCTTCCTCAAGCTCCTGGGCATCCCGCCAGACACACATGCCCCCCCTCCAGGCTGAAATGGGGCTGGGGGTTGGGGTTTTCACTGCGCTGTGGAGACTTCCCTGGAGGGCTGCGTGGATAAATCCCTTCTTTCCTCTGCAGACTGCCTACCAGACTGAGCTGGGGCAGATGCTGGACCTCATCACCGCTCCTGTTTCCCAAGTGGATTTGAATCGCTTCACTGAGCAGAGGTAGAGACGGAAGGGGACGGAGATGCCAGCCCAGCTGTGGCAGGGTGGCCCCGCTTGCAGTCCCTTCCCGTCTGTCTAAGAGAGACAAGCGGCTTGCTGGAATGGTGCTGGTGCCTGCCAGGCTTTGGGGAGCAAGTCTTGCCTGCGCCATCAGAGCTCAGGAGCCGGTTTTGGAGGGAGATGCTGCTTTTCTCCTGCTGGCCCTGATCTGCAGAGCCCTGGTGGGAGGGGAAGGCCTGGGCTTTGCACTGAGCGTGGTTCCTCTCTCTGCCACAGGTATAAGGCAATCGTTAAGTACAAGACGGCGTTCTACTCCTTCTACCTGCCTGTGGCCGCTGCCATGTACATGGTGAGTTTGATAGAAACAGTCTCGGGAGGGGCCCAGCCCCGAGGAGGGCAGGGGCTTTGGGAGATGGGAGAAGCGAGGGCAGAAGGCAGGCAGGCACCAGAAGGCTTTATTCCTTTTTTCCCTCCCTCTTAGGCTGGCATTGATGGGAAGGAGGAGCACGACAACGCCAAAGCAATCTTGCTGGAGATGGGCGAATTCTTTCAGATCCAGGTGGGAGGTGGCTCCCCGTCCCTCGGCGCTCGTACGACGCTGGCTGAGGTGCTCACGTGTTTCCGTCTCCGTACAGGATGATTACCTGGATTGCTTTGGGGACCCAGAGCTGATGGGGAAGGTTGGCACCGATATCCAGGACAATAAATGCAGCTGGCTGGTGGTGGAGTGTCTGCGTCGGGTCACGCCAGACCAGAGGCAGATCCTGGAGGTAACCCCACCAGGCTGACAAACCCCGTGAAGAGGGAGGGAGAGGTGGTGCGGCCTCCCTGCGGATGCGGTGTATGGGTTGCGTAGCGCTGTGACGTACGCCTGAAAAGCCACGTGCCGCCCGGTGTGGCTGCGCCGTGCCGCTGCCTGGCTGGGGGAGGGTGGGTTGGTGTGAGCGCTGGTAGCGGGGGGAGAGCAAGAGGCGACTCCTGCCGCACTTGGCGGCGGCCACGGCTGTAAGCTGGGCCTCGGCCTGACGCGCTCGGGTGTTTTCTCAGGAGAACTATGGCTGTAAGGAGCCCGAGAAGGTGGCAAAGGTGAAGGAGCTCTATGAGACCCTGGGCATGAGGGCTGCTTTCCAGGAGTACGAGGAGAGCAGCTACCAGCGCCTGCAGGAACTGATCGGGAAGCACGCCAGCCGCCTCCCCAAGGAGATCTTTCTGGGCCTGGCTCACAAGATTTACAAGCGGCAGAAGTGATGGTGGGCCTGGCTGCGGACTGCTTCGCCTTGGCTAAGGGGGAGGGGGCAGAG